TCAAAACTTTTTGTTACAAAATGCTTTAACTCATATAATTCGCTTCACAAACCTAGTAACATATATATCCATGTATCAAGTACTTTTGTCTGTTTTTGTTAAATCTATATACGTATATGTAACGAATTCATAATTTTATATACGTACTCGATGAAAACCCTAAAAGACTCCAAAGATTTTATTCACATAGAATCGATTCTTCCAAAATCATTCACATTATAAAACCCATTCGAAAAAAACCCAGAAAAACCTGCCGACATCTGATCAGGCAAAAACATCTCTTCCTCCCCATCCAACGGCTCATAATAATACTCAGTCCCTCCCACTCGATCATCGTACGGCTGCTCAACACGTGTCTCAACGAGATTCTCCGGCGTCGGAGAAGGTTGGTGGTCGGAAAACTCAGTATCCGGTTGAAGATCGACGGCGTCTTGTCCGGTGAGTTCTTGTACGAGCTCTCTAAACTTGGAAGCACAAGTCTCGACTCTCATAGGGTTTGATATGTAACGGACTTTGATTGGTTTGTTCGTTGATGAAGTACTCGTCTTCTTCTTTTGCTTTGGTGATGGTTTTCTTGAAACCGGAGATGATTTTCTCTTGTCTAGTAAGCTTGTGGTAGTGAGATACGTCGATGATGATGGTGATGAATCCATAGAGAATTAATCCAAAAAAATGATTTTGGTTTATTTTTATTTGATCTCTCTAAGCTTCGACTATATATATAACATTTTCATTTCTGTTTAGGAAGGAGAGTGGAAATTAATGGGAAGGAGAATCGAAAGAAGAGAGGGTAAAGGAAAAAAAAAAGAAGGAAAGATAACGAAATCGAAATTGACGGCGCGTGGTCTTCACGCGAGCCTCGATAGGTTGGAGTATTCGATATACGTGTGAGTCACGCACTTGAATTTTTCGCGTGGTGAGAAAAAATAAAAATAAAAAATCAACGTTGAGTGGTGATCAAGGCGAATATAGAGGCGGCTCGTGAAGCTTTTATTATCGTTGAAGCTCCTCCACGTGAATACGGAGGAATCCGACAATATTGACGACTATTAATTACGTCACTGTAACTCCTATGAGATGACGTCATGCAAATGGTCATTTAAAATGGGGAAAATGATGATTTTTTTTTTGGTTGGACAAGCACGTATATATATTTGTGATTTCATCTTTTGTACAGATTCTGTTTCCTCGTCAATAGTCAAACAGATTCGAGAATACGAGACAACATTAATGGTCATAGAACGGAGGGAGTAGTATAAATTTCGTAGTACGATCTTCTTCTAGAGGTAGGTGGTTGTTCTGAATTAAATTGAATTGACTTGGTTACTTTTCACGTAACCATATATACAGTACAGTAGTTTTTTTTTTTGTTTATTATACTTAGAAACCACTATTTGTTTGATTAGATGTAAGAATTCAACGTTTTCAACTATATATTCTACACAGTTGTAGTAATACATATAATTCTTGGTTGTTGATCTTAAAAGCACATATAAAGTGATAATTGTAGATTACTAAATCTTAGTGGGGATTACTAATTCTTGGTTGAGTAAGTGTTTGTATTCGAGACCTTACATGTTTGAGGGTTTACAGATTCTGCTACATTTTTCCCACAATTTTCTTACATTTGGAGTATTTATTTCCAAGTATTATTTGCACATTATTAACTTCAAATTCAGATGAGTTTGATTTTTTTTTCTATTTACACACATTTCTTGATAACAGAATAATAGAAACAAAAAAAAAAACATCTTAGTAAGGCTGTTAAAAAGAGTGAAAGAAAAATCTTGATAATAATGCCTAAAACATTTAACATTTTTTCTGTTATAAAACGTATTAAAATTCGTGTAAAAGGTAATCAACAAATATTTATCCAACATATATAGATTTTCAATCTTTTAACATATAAATACGTCGGGGAAAAAACTGTAGAACCCTTAGTTATCAATGTTAAGAGCATGTGCAATGTTGTTTCTTAAGCAAGTTCTTAAAATATAAAATTATTAAAATTTGAGTAAAAAAAAGAAAGAGAGTGTTTTTGTGGGATGTATTGAGTGTATGAATGGGAACGTGATTTATTAGTGTATGGCACACCTAAGTGTATCATCTGCTTTTTATTTTCCATTCACAAATTTTAATAAATTATAGCAAAAAAGTAAATGTCACGCAAGTAGTTCAAATTTTTTTGTCTTTTAGTAAAAATGATGCAGGAACCGCAAGCMGTCCGATACGCTAGAAAAATGAGGAGTATTATCCACTTCCCACATTTCAAGACACTTATTAATACATTTTTATCCAAAATTATTTTTTTTCATCTATAAGTACTCTTGTTTCCTCAAGCTCTTGTGAACATACTCAGATACTCTCACCACTTTACAGTAGAGAACTACACCTCTTCTCAGGTTAAACCAAACATACTACACATCTTCTCTTTCCGTTTGAAAGGTACTT